GCATAGGATGTCACTGATCCTAGAATCTTCTTCCAAATCATTCTCACCTGTCAGAATCCACTCTGACAGGAATCAGCAAGGAGTACCTGGAAGGGGGCATGAGGTTATAGGAAATGGAAGGTTAAGAGAAATGAAGACAGAAACATAGGATAGATAGGGAGGACTAAAGGCCAGTACCAAACAGCCCAGAGTTTATTTCTCAGCATATATTCTAAATACGGTCAAAAGGCAGAACAAAGAGCAGGACAATCAGTTAACCATCTCCCTGCACTGGCCTTGGGAGGAAGCTCAAGCAGGTGCATTATTTTATTGAGCCAAGTAGCTTCTAATCTCTAAGAAGGAGTGCTTCTGGCTGGCAGCAGCATTCCAAATCTTTATAGAAAAATGTGCTCTTTCCACTGGGCAAATTGCTCTGTCTATGGGCTAGCACAGCTGTTGCTCATAGCCCTCAAAGATACTGGATGAAGTAGAGCAGGCGAGCTTGAACTCAAAAGCCACTTAAGCCACAAATGACTCCAGATGGAAACTGGTTCACACGTGGGCTCCCTCACTCACCACCATTCAAAATTCCATATCCTGTTTATGATTGCATACCACCTGTTCACCTCTATAACACTAGTATAAAATTAAAGCCTGGCAAAATTATCAGCTTGAATTTCTTCCTACAGACTAAAGCATATAGAAGGAACAGAATTACTTCATAGGTACTTCATAAAGAAAAAATAGATGGATGAAAAGAATATCATGTAAGGAAAGAATTGAGAGAATTTTACTGTCATCTAAATATAGGATATTTGTAGTTTGTACTTTTATTTTTTGGCATGGTTTAGGTACAAAACTTAAATATAAGATGCATTAGTATATTGCATTTTCTTAGTGATCTATGTAACATCTTATCATGATGTCATTCTCTTCCTGATTAGTCAGGAAGGTGATGCGGCTGTTCCCAAAAGTTCACTGGAGTGTATAATAAGTATGTGTGATATGTGTTCATCTTGAATATTAAGCAAGTCGTCTTCAACAAGAAAGGACACAGTGCTCAACATACCCCCAATCTCCTCATACATACTTGTCAAAATACTGACATTTTATCACACATAGGGATTAATTTTTGGTTGATATGACATTGAAACTTGAATTCTGGCCTGAGGATGGATGGGATCTTAAAACTCAAATCATTTTTATTGTACTGATCTTTCACCTTTTTATTTCAGCTTAATCCGAGACATCTTTGAGTCTATTGTAAATAAGAATGCTTCCAATGCTCTCTTTCTCATAATGTTTATTTTCAAATAAGAATATTTTGACTTCTTCATTTCCTATTTATATCCTTTTAGTTTTCATCTCTGCTCTTATTGCTCTGACTAGGATTTCAACAATTATATAAAGAAAAGTGCGGGGACAGTGAAGAGCACCATTTCGTTTTATATTATAGTTCAAAAGCAAAAGTTTTCTCTCCAATTAGGACAATGTTGGCTGTAAGAATGTCATTTATAGCCTTTATTAAATTGAGATATATCCCCCCAGTCCTGTTCTCTCCAGGGCTTTTTTGTTTGTTTTTTGTTTGTTTGGTTGTTTGTTTGTTTTTGTTTTTCGAGACAGGGTTTCTCTGTGGCTTCGGAGCCTGTCCTGGAACTAGCTCTTGTAGACCAGGCTGGTCTCGAACTCACAGAGATCCGCCTGCCTCTGCCTCCCGAGTGCTGGGATTAAAGGCTTGCGCCACCATCGCCCGGCTTCTCCAGGGCTTTTTATCATAAAATGAGTGTTGGATTTTCTCCAAGACTCTTTCTGCATCTACTGAGATAATCATATGCTTTTTGCCTAAGAGTTCACTTATAAGGTTTGATTGATGTAATCTATACCGAACAGATCATGAACCTCTGAGTTACTAAAACTGAGGTCATGTGTTGTGTGATCCTCCTTGGATACTTATTCATATATATGAAGTCACATAAAACATTTAATTCTCTTCTAAACCGAGATAATTTTTCTACCTGTCAATTCACATTACTTAAAAGACGTTTTTCTGACTGAAAGTTCTGCACACATTAATGCTTTTTTTGTTTGTTTATATATTTATTCTGTGTTTAGCTGTGTTTAGACGTAACCACCATCAAATTCAACAAATCAAGATTACCATGGTTAGCAGGAAATATTTAATGAATAAATAAGATCCAATTTTCACATTCTTGAGAGAAAATCTTGCACAGTCCCTGAAGCACAACTGCATATATCATACACTGTAAAGACAGAAATTTCAAATTACTTTATGGATTTTTGTATATTTTGACCCATTTATTCACTTTTCCCCTTTGATTGAAAATGGATTTTTTTTCTCACATAGTATATCCTGATTATAGTGTCTCCTTCGTCTACACCTGGCAGTTTTTCCAACCTCCCCTCCCAACTGTATCCACTCCGTTTTGTCTGGATTTTAAGGGAAATAATAAAATAAAACAAAGATAAGAGAAAAACTGACACACTGGGATTGTATAAAACAAGGAGAATGGGGTAATCCTTGTGCTTGGCACAGCTCATCAGGGCGCACACCCTCCAGTTCCTGTTGTAGCTGAATAGAGAGGTCACATCCTCCTTGCTCAGCTCAAAGACCTTCAAGGTTTCAGCATTTCATGCTGGTGTCACAGACTTTGGGATCCCCAGGTTCCTTTGTATGGGGAACCAGATCAGCACTTGGGCTATAGATTTATTGTACTTGTATGCAGTTGCCTTAGTCCTGGGATCCTCCAGGAGAGAAGAGTCTTCGAACTTAGCCTTGGGCCTGTCTGGAGAGCCAAGGGGACTGTATGCAGTCACCACTATGCCTTTGGAACAGCAGTGCTCAATCAGCTTCTGTCGAGTTAGGTACAGGTGGCACTCGATCTGATTAATTGCAGGCTTCTCTTTTAAGCCAGGTTTGTTTAGGATCCTTTTAATCTGAAGAGGGTTGAAATTGGAGACACCAATTGATTTCACGAAACCTTCACCCACCAGCTCTTTTATGGCTGCCCAAGTGTCCACAAAATCAGTATCACTGGGAATCACATTTCTTGATGCATCCAGTAGGAAATAATCAGGCCCAGGCTTGAAACCTGTTGGCCAACGAATAAGGTAGAGTTCCTGGTAGTCCAGCTGCAGGTCGCTGAGCGTGTTCTGGCAGGCTCCTTTCACCATGCTCTTGTGGAACGTGCACCACAGCTTGCTGACAATGAAGAGTCACTTCAACACCTGCCCGAGCTTCTCCTGGAGGGCCACTCCCACTTCCTGCTCATTCTGGTACACCTGGGCACAGTCAATGTGGCGGTACCCAATGTCAATGGCAACCTTCATGACCTCAGTCACCCGGCCAGGAGGAGACTTCCAAGTGCCCAGGCCCAGGGTGGGCATCTTGGTGCTGTTATTCAGCTCCAGATAGCTGGCCATGATTGCTGCAGGTTACACACCCTGACCGACTACTCCATGCCAAAGTCTGAAGCTGCGGATACCTGCTCTCCCCTAAACGATTTACACATGATCTTCCTGCTTCATCTGTCCTTGCAGGAAGTCTTCCTTGATCAACCTGGACATTTTTTTTTAAGTTTGAATGACTTCACTGCTTTTCATTTTCTATGGAAATAGAAGCAAAATCTCTCTTCCAAATTAATAGACCCTTTGTCTTAAACTCTGATGTCAAGTTATTCTTACAATATATATGTTGGTTGAATCTAGCACTTTTTTTATAATTACATGTCTCTTAGCAGCTAAGCAATTCAAAGAAGACAACAATATACATGATCTAGACTCTGTGTATTGCCTATCTTTATGTGGCTTATTTATCTTATTTTACTTTATACCATGTTGAGGATATTTTTATTATTTTAAAACTTTGCTTCTTAAATATAATACTGTATATATTCATTTTATTCTCTCTTCTAAGTCTACACATTTTTAAAAACACACTGTGACCCAATTAGTGGCTCTTTTTGTCTGAATCTGTACTTACTGTGCATCTGTATTATTTTCTTATTGTGTGAGTAAAAAAAAAACTGTTGTAACTTGTATCATGGTATGTTGGTGATTGACACTTCCCTCTCAGTTCTCTGAGAGTCTAGTTTCATGGAGGAGGCATGTTTATGACCCATGTTTATCGCCCAACTCTGGGAAGTGACTGGATCCACACCATCACCATAGTGTGCTATGGTTTCTTGGTAGCTGCATTTTTTTTTATCTGCTGGTAGTGAGCACAGACGTGGCTTCTTTAAAAGGTGACTTCATGGCTCAATGCTATCAGCAAAAATGGTGGCTTTTTTAAGAGGCTCTACTACCAAACACTTTGATGGTATTCATGTTCAGTATATGGCACACTATTCATGGATGGTGTGGATCTAGTAACTAATTCCTTTCACAGGAAATCTAACTGATCTTGTATGTTGTAAGAAAAATCCGAGGTATTAAAGCTGTACATGCCCTGATTTCCTTAGTGGTTGCTCAAGTTTGCACTCCCACGAGCAATGTAGGAGTGCTCCCCTTACTCCACAGTGGATTAGTTTCTCAATGCAAGTAAACAAAATAAGCAATATTGATGACATACTGTACATATTTACGTATATACTTTGGTGAGAAACAAATATTTTCCTACCCATTGTTAGAGACTCCTATGTGTACACTTGAAATTGTACTAATCTTATTTTTTCAGGACTAATGTTAGATAACCATAGAGGTCAGAATGTCTACTGGAGATATTTTTCTCTTTACTAGGAAAAGACTAGTGCTACCTCACTGAAGAATTTACTTAAGTTATGTCTTTGAAAAACTTTAGTGACACCTGAAATATGTGTTAAATGATAGATTGAATATTAAATATTAAAAGATAACCTTTAAAGAATGAATTTAAATTTATATATTAATATTTGGGTATATTACTACATATGATTAACTTTTATATTTAAAATACATGCTTTCTTGGCTTTAATGCAGACATAAACTTTGTTGACTTACTTGTTTCCATTTCTCTTTTCTTTTAGGCCATACTTTGGAGGTATAAATTCTCTCAGCTTAAAGGCTCATCAGATGACGGCAAAAGCAAAATAAAATTTTTGTTTCAGAACTCAGAAACTAAACAAATTGAAGCAAAGGTAAACACAAAAGAGCCATCACACGATACATTTCCAAAATCATCAGTGCCTTAATGATGCAACGAGGAGAATGTGCAGGATCATTAAACACAAATGTTTTCCGCCTACCTTGAAATAGCACTGTGACCCCAGAGTACTTTTACTTGAAGGCTTTAGTGACAGATTTTCACTGAAAAGCATTGCTCCAGATAAATTATGCCCAACTGATTCTGGGTCGTAGTTTTAATCTGGTATGAACTATAATTACATAAGACGAAAACAACATGACAAGACCTGAAGGGGCCATACAGCAGTTTCTTAATTTTAAAAAATACCTTGGAAATTTAGCTGCTTTATGGTAATCTATCAAACCTTAAATAGAAGTATAAATTTGCAAAGAATATGGTTTTAAGCAACTGTGAAATAATTGCTAAGTAGTTATGACTTAAAGAAGATGAATTAGTCAATGACTTTCCACATAGTTTTACCTAAGTTATAGTCAACTGGTATATGATAGTGCTCTTGTTAGGACAATGGACAGTTTAAACAATTTTGTATGTATAAAGATTTATACTTGCAGAAATTCAAAATTTCACTTTTTTCTATTACCCTATAATGAAATCAACAGTAAGATTTTTTAGTTTAAATAATTCATAAAAATATTATTCCTCTGTGGAATGAAGAATAAACAATAGCAAATTGTAAATTTAATCCTGTGGTATGGAAACCTACTGTACTTTTTCTTTTATGAAGTCATTTGCAATCATTTACTTTTGCAATCATTTACCTGAGTTCAGGGTGAGTCTTAGACCGACTTTCAAGGACTTCCCAAGCATGACTCTGTGATGTTCTATACAGTAGCTTACCATGTTGTTCTACATCTTTACCAGAAGCCTTCCTTTCAATAATGTGATTCTTCTTTTGCTAGTATGTCTGGCCAGGCATTTTTCCATTGTTCCTTCTTGAGAACTTTCTCCATTTATATTTTCATTTCTGAAGTAGGAACTGTGATCATAGCTTTTATGTATTCATTCCTTCTCTTTCACATCTCCAACACATGGATGTAATTATCTTCTTGCCTTGCCTTTGTATCCCATGAGGTTAGAAAAGTTATTTTTTCATTCCCTTTTCTTGTGGATTGGTTTCTGAACCCTCAATCTCATGTGCCTTCCACACATGACTTGCCTCTGTTTCTTGCTCTTTCTTTTCTCCATAACTATCAATGAAGCATCATTGTGCTTGCACTTACTTTTTTCTTTAAAATGATTTTCCATGTTCTAGAAATAAAATGTTCTATAAATGCATATTAATGTAAATTTATTAATATTAACGTTGGTTGGGTGCCTTAAGTTTTTAAGGAGGTGCACCATCTCAGTTAACCAAGATAGAACCATCTTCATCAGTTTGGAGCCCCAAACCGATGGTGCTATCAGCAAAATGGCATCATATCAACCAGATAGAATCATTGTTGTGGGGCCACATCTTCTTCCTGGAAACTTAAAAGATTAATATAGAAAAATGTATTAATCATTGTGGAAAACTTAAACAGTATTCATACCAAAACAGAGAGTATGAATTTCTATAGACATGAATTTGAAGAAAGGTACCATAGAGACAAAAATAGGTATGGGGAGAAGAAAAATTTTGAAAGCAGAGTTCTGATAAACTTAGTCCCTAGATTTTATCTTCTTTTTGTCCCACATCAGGTGGCTTCTGATATGAGACAGAGACTCTAAATTTTTCTTTTAAGAATGTGCTTGAATTTAGAGAAGGAGAGCTACTGTCTAACTCCAAAGTCAGCTTTGATTTTCAAGTGAGTTGCAAATGCTATTTCATATATATGTTTAGGTATGAGATTTTACCCTGCAAAGGATATTGGTATCATAAGCCATATTTTTCTTTGCTTGGTGATTCTTTTTGAATTGTTATCTTTCTTCTTTAGACATCTAGATGTCCAAGATTTCTTGACTGTTTGAAGATGGGTATTTTTCTGCAAAGACAAGAACAGAACCCTGCCCCAACCCTTATGAGGTTTCCTTAGAATCTGTAGAATTGTCACCTCTGTGAATAAGTTGTCATTTCCATTTATCAAGAGATTTCTCCTTTTCAAAGAATATCTTGATTAATTTTGATAGTATTCATAGTTTTTCTTCTCCTGTGAAAACAAAAGCAAAACCCCTGTCCCAGTGTAGCACATCTTCTGGTTTCCATTCTTAGGTCAACACCTCCTTGAATACACAAACTGATTTAATTCAGAAATTTTTTTTTTCTGTTACCCAATGTCTCTCTGAAGCCATTGTTTCCTTCTCATTAGTATTAAGAAAATTTAAGGTTAATAAAGCATTATGCAATCTACTTCTGGGGATATTTTCCATCCCTTTCTATTTGTTTAACATATCCTTTATAGCTCAATTTGAAGTTTCTGTAAGTGTCTGACCTGTAGGATTTTGTAGCATATCATAATACACTTTATATTATAATAAGCAAAAAAAAAACTGTTTCATTTTCTTAGAGACATATCCTGAGCATTGTCTGTCTTTATTTGTGCAGGTATACCCATGATGACCATAACTCCTAATAAATGTGTGATTACCAAATCACTCTAATAACTCTTGATTTCTGTGACGTACCATCAGACTTTTCTTGTCTATCATCTTTCTTTCTGATCCATGTTTTTCAAAAGAAAGTGAAGTATTGTGATGAATATTTATTGAATGACCAAATACTTATATTTTGAAATTAGGTTTTACTTAGTAAGGCTCGTGGAAAAAAATGTCAGGAAAGTTCTGTTGTAAGGAAATAGCATGTAAAGCCTCTGGATATTTGAAAGTCTCAGAAAAAAAAAATAGGTAGAAAGGAAAGACTATCCTCTGTGAATTCATACAGGAGTGAACAAGGAAGCCTGAGGGATGGCTATGACTGTAAGAGTTGATCATGGGGCAGAGGAGGTGATGTTGAATTAGGGTCAAACCCAGATCCATCAGTCTCCTACAGTCTATTCTCAGTGTCTATGTCTTCCTATCATACACTACAAACCTTAAATTGGCAAAGATATAAAACTGTAAGGTCTTGATCAGCATCAAACTATTGGACAATAATAAACAAGATGGGTAGAATAATTAGAAAACCTAGATCTTACTTAAAGTGCCCAGATATTTAGGTAATTGGAGAGATTAAAAAACAAGCTATAATCTTCAACTTAATAGGAATAATTTTAAGAAACACTGCTTTAATATTTGTGTTCAGTGGCATTCAAAATTTTTTTATCTTTGTGAACTGAAAAGAACATATACACACACTTGTATAAATGTATATATAATATCTATACAATATAATATTATTATGGTATAATATATTATATATAATGTGTATGTATAAAATCAGAGAAGATGAGACCGTAGATTTAAGAGGGAAGGTTGTAATAGGGTAGTTGGGATGGAAAGAATGGGAGGAGAGGACATGGTAAATATTGCATAGAGGAGAGAAAGAGGAAGAGAAAATGATATAATATTTTAATTAATTTTTAATTTGAATAAAATAAACCTTGGCTAATAATGACAGAATTTTAAAAAGACTTTGTAAGTGGAAATTTTTGGGAAATACAATAAAGAAGTGAATGTATTTTACCACTTTCAGAAATTGCACTACACTAATCTGACTCTGAACTATGAAAAGGTAAAAGACTGTTGAGACACTGAAGGCTATTGTGTTCCTATTGCAAACCCCAAGAAAACACAGTAGGCCTGTTAATTTTTTTAGGAGTTCTCTGATGCATTATAATTTGTTCTAATTTCTTCATCTTCCGTCACAAATGTGAAACTAAATAACAAAAAATACGCATCATTAATCTCAGGTGTTTACTACATATGAGTTACTCTCATTGCGATCATAAACTGTATATCAGTTTCACTAAGCTTATAAATTTCTTAATCAGTCTTCAATATTCTTGGCATTGTAACATGTCTATGAGAGTATTGTATTTTAATATATTACATATCCTAGATTCCAGATGTTATACATAAAAATGACTGCTTATTGACAACTTTGTGAAAAAATAAATTTTTTCCCCTGATTTACTTCTGTCTCCTTTCCTTCCAGGAGTTGGAATTTTCAAATTTATTTGCTGTGCTTCACTGTATCCATTCATTTTTTGCTGCCAAAGTGGCTTGTTTGGACCCTCTGTTTTTAGGCAATCAGGCTGCTGCTTCTGCTACTGCCACCTCTGCTTCTACAAGCAAAGCAAAGCACGTGGCTTGACAGACCGAGTTCTGCCTAGCAGCCCCACTGTCACTCCTCGTTTTCCTCCGGCAGAGACCACGCTGTCACCATGTCAACAGTGGAGTCAGACTGCAACTCCAGCGGGAAAAATGTCAAGAGGTATCTGCAGTAGATCTTACCCTAGCAGGTATCCGCAAATAACCCGGAATGGGCAGAGCAGCCTATTCTTTCTCCTCTGATCTTTATCAGGACACAGCTGTCACCGTGTATGGTGATGAATGATTGGTATGTAAAGTATGTAAATAACACGAAAATTGTAAGCTACCTATAAATAAAAATACCAATTAAATGGCTATTTCTCTATTTTAGATTATTTTGTATGACAGAGACATAGTGGGCCAGATGAACCAATGCCCTATCATTGTATTATGAGTGTAAATAAGTTAAAAAGTAAAGCAAGGCAAGTAGCATGCAAAAAAATAATAAAACATTAAAACCTCAAGGATAGAAGTACCTTAACCTACCCAAATGAGTTTCTTCCTATGTTCCCATCTTACGTTTCCACATGAGCACTCCGGTTGTGTTTACCAGATTTTAAATCTTCTGAAGAATAAGTAAAGATAATCACATTGGCCTGTGATACACACTAAGAAATGAAACATTCCTTCTTGAATGAATGCTACAAAAATGTTTTATATTAAAAATGGTATTAGTCCTGAATGGCTAAAACACTCATGATTTCCCTGTTCTTCATGTAAACACACTTATACTCTTTTGCCTAATAATATATATGAACAAACTAAACTTTAATAAATTGATATGACCCAAAATTCTTACAGAGAAAATTATGTCAACAAATTCTGTTTAAGAAATAGGACTTTGTAACCCTTTTCTGTGTGGTCGTGAATCGAAAAGTTCCTGAAAAGTAGCCACAGAGGTGATAATTTCATTTGAGTATATTTATGAGTAAATTAAGTGAGATTTGGAAACAATTCTCAAAATACATGTCCATGGAGTATGATTAAGTAGTTGTAATAGATTAAGACTGCTGTAGCTAGCTTGTGTTAGCGTTAGAAAGACGAAAAGGACAGAAATAGGCAATGTGGAGAATGTACTCACAGCTGGGAATGGGGTCTTGCTAGTCACACAAAGCAGGAAGCATTCTCTGGCCCTCATCTAAGGCTCTCGAGATGTCTGCTTTTAAACAAGTGGGTACTTATTGGAAAGTAAAAAGGAAGCCCATTTTTGCTTATACACATTTCAGTTGATAATTGTTTTAGGCCTTTTTAAATGACCAGTTTTCTAACAGGGAGTTCACTATTGTTTCCTTTAGGAGAAGAAAATCTCATTTAAGACTTAAGAGGAAAACAAAATAATTTGTGGGGAGGAACACACATCCATGAAAGTAAAGTCAACAAATAGTAAGCTATTTTCATAATCACTAGAAATATTAAATCATCTTTAATCAGGTTAAGTGAAATCTCATAATGAGAACTGAAATATGTAAGATTGGAATTAAAAGAACAAAAAAATTAATAATAAAAGTTTACAAACACTATAAGAAATTCAATGTATCCCTACAATGGTAATATTGAAATTGTTGCTTACTTTATCAACCAGACACAAAAACTATGGCAAATTTTGGATATCACCAATATCAGAGTTCTGACTGTCTAACATAAAGTAGAAGGAATGAATTTGGACACATTTTACTATTTCTTCTGAAACCTCTGCTACTGAGCAAGGTGCAGCCACATGGTGGGTGACCTGGTCTGTAGGGCTTGTGATATGCCACAGTCATCAAAACTAAAAAAGGAAATAATCTGAGGTTTTAAACAATGCAGAATTCTTCTGTAATCATGTAAGATAATTTCATGGGGCTGGAGAGGTGACTGAGCTTTAAGGGTTATTTTTGCTCCTGCAAAGAAGGCAGACTTGCTTTGAGGACTCACTCAGTGATCTGTAACTACAGTTCCAGGGGTTCTGATGCCATTTTCCAGACTCAGCAGCACTGGGGATACATGTGGTGCAGATGAAATAGCATGTAAAATGATGTAGATTTTACAAGGTTCTCTTTAAACAGACAAAAACAAATTATGCTTTTATTGTTGTTATTGCAAATATTCTACCAGTGTTCCCATTGTGAAAACAGCAAAAGTATGAGATGAGATCTTTGGGTATATAGAGCTAGTGTACTTACAGATACATAAGTACATGTATAGAAACAAGAATAAATTGTTGACCTTAATTATACTGAGATAAAATTTTCCACATACATATACAGCATAATTTGAATTCAGCTACAAAGTGTTGCTTGAAATAAAACATATTAAAACCACCTTAGTATTGTTACTATTTATAATATTGATCGGCATATCTTCATGCTGAAATTGCTATTTAACACGATTAGTGGTCCAGGCAGCAGTTAGGAAAATACTGTTCTGATTTTCATCAGTTTAACAGTTAGTGTTTGATGCTTTCTTTATAGTGCTATTAAGCACTGTTATTTGCTGTTGTTTCTTGGGCTACTTCAGTGAGAAAGTTTAGAAATGAATTGAAACACAGATTTCAATTTCTCTGTAACTTAGGTAGGTTCCAATATGGGAGTTTTTTTTTTTTTTCAAAAATTGCAAGTTTGAGTATTAAGCACATATGAGAATGCTTCATGATGTTTTAACCCCTCCAGTGCCTTGGTGGATGTATATGCACATGCATGTGTATGGGGACAAATTAAAGGGCTTATTACAGTGTACACAGTGTAATCTTAAAGGGCAATGTAGTTATGGGAGTTAGAGACAAGAGTTTAAAACCACTTGAAAACTGTTGAGAATGCCTTTTACGTGATTAAAATAGCAATCCATCAGCACTGAAATATATCAAAGCAGGGGCATTTGAATCTGTTATAGCGCAACTTCAAAAACACATTAAAAGATGATTTAAAAATAATAAATACGCCAAATGCTTCCCATCCAATCTTACTTTTAAGCAGCAGGATGAGCTACTGCGTCCTCATACATTTCGGGCATGAACAGACCTCTTATAAAGCCTTTGCTCATAAAAGTCGTCCAACAAGAAGAAAGACAATGAACACCAAGTCAATATGGCAAGCAGAGAAAGAACTTCCATATAGACAGTGCGGTTTTCTTCTGGATGCATGAGCAGATGAGTCCACATATCCTTTGCTTAGGTCACAGTGATTGTTCATAGTATATTCCATGTCGAATGCTGGGCTTAAGTGATGCTTGATTTATCACTGAGGAACAGTGATGCATAGCAATCACTTCACTTTACTGTTTCAAACCCGAAGTGTGGAGAAGCTCTACTGGTGCAAGGACAAGCTTAAGCTTAACTCTGTAAGGTAAGTGTCTGTGTTCACACTTAACGATAAATATTTTGTTCCTGTTGCTATTGCTGTGCTCAGGAGCTTAAGGACTCTCTTGATCCACATCTCTAGAATTTCTGTTTGTATTTTGTTCTGACTCCTTAATACCCTAAACTCATGTCACTTTATGTTATACCTTAACTTTAAGGATAATAAATAATATAAATGTTATATATTTTATACATATTACAATGTAGTGAAATAGAAAGATAAAATGTAAAAATATTTATTTCCTATTTAAATGTTTGGTGGATGTTTCTAAAATGTAAATTCAGATCTGTTATAACTTGCCACTCTGTCTTTGGGTTCATTAATGATTTATTACAAAATAAAGCAAACAAAAAAAAGGAACCTTTCTTAAATGAAGCATACTAGAAAATAAAGATGGAAGCTTTTACTACTTTCAATTTTGTATTTCTTTGTCTGCCTTTGATCTGTAAGTTTCCCACAAATTTAAACTCTAATCTTGATGGAAGAAAATTGAATGTAAAAGGGAAAATCTGACCTCTCTGCCAAGAGTACAAACCAAAAACACAATCTGCTTTGGTTCATTAATATTCATGAACATTTGGTGTCTGACTTCTGAATTATAGCAGAGACCTAAGGAAGGTGATATTTACCAAATTACTTAACCCACCAAGGAGTTACAACTCTTGAAAACATTACCACTTTGGTATTTATGTAGCAGTCCATTAGGAACAGTATCTAAATTGAGAAGGAAGGCCAAGGACATCATTAGCTTGTCACTAATAACTGAATTGTGGAGCAATTATTGAGGTATCATGTTCCTTCCTTTAAGACGGTAATTGTTATTCAGGTGATTACAATGTCATAAAAGCATGCCGACAAGATTCCCTTCAAAACAGTTCCAATATTGTCCTTGTTACTAAATGAACTCTAAAACGTCTCCAACTTGTTGCTGTTGTTCCATCTTTTTCAGTTTGAATAGCAGAAAGACAATTAAGCTTCCTGTGAAAAAGTAGTAAATACCCATCATGTATATTTTCAATAACTAAACTGAATACAAAGAAAAAATATAGTAAGTCTTAACCCCAGTAAAAATAAGCAAAGCGCATTTTAGATGAATGTTACTACACCCATCATTTTTTTTCACACAGAAGCAAATAAAGTATTTTAAATTGATGTACAAGCATGTGCATTGAGTGTCTTTATAAAAACAATTAGATTGGTGTAGTAATTTATCAGTGCAGTGCTGATCTACCAAGACTAATATCACTGGTTCTCTCCCTAGCACACTAGACAAATAATATTTATCATAAATATAATAACAAAATGCTCCATGATTTTAAAAATGCAATAAGAAACAGTTATTCAGAGGAAATGTATGAACGCAATTGATATAATACTTATGTTTTCTTTTAGAAGTACTTTATTCATCCTTTAGGAATTTCTTAAACTATATATTTTTATCTTCTTCAATCCCTCTTTGCAATTCATCTATGATCTATCCCCATCTCCCTAGAAAGTTATCATTTTGGGGAGGGAGAAAATATCCTGGAGCATGGTTGACCTACAAGGATTCTAGTATTTTTTGTTTGTTTGTTTGTTTTTTGTTTTGTTTTGTTTTCCGAGACAGGGTTTCTCTGTAGCTTTTTTGGAGCCTTCGTTGGACCTAGCTCTTGTAGACCAGGCTGGTCTCGAACTCACAGAGATCCACCTGCCTCTGCCTCCCAAGTGCTGGGATTAAAGGCGTGCGCCACCACTGCCTGGCTAAGGATTATAGTCTTAATGAAAGCTAATTCTGCCTTTCCCATCAGCTGTCAGTTGTTAATAAATCCCCAGGTCGGGTTAAGGCTTTTTGTAAGCTCTTCTTTCCATGGTTAAGTGCTCATTTCCATTGGTTTGACTTGAGCTTCTACAGTTCTTGTGCACGCTGTCACAGTTCCTGGGAATGCATATGTGCAACTCCTCTGCAGTGTCAGGAAAAGGGCTTCCATGTAGTCTTCTGCC